AAGGAAAGGAAATGATATGAACTGGTGACGTGGGATGGCGGGTGTTGGTTGAATTTCACTTCACGTACCTCGAGATAGACCTGGTTTGCTGTTTTCTCAATAGTACCGTCCTCGCCCGCTGTGAGTTGGAGGTAAATTTCATGGTCGTATTGCATGGGGACCCGCTTCCATTCATGGCATTTGGCACTCGCCGATCGAGGCTCATAGTAGGCAAAGTTGGGGCTGAAGGAGACATACTCAGTGTCATCCATTTTCGAAGAAGTGGATGAAGAGAGCAGAGATGAATTTGATCCCGTGCCGGAACTGGTCTGCGTTTGGGTTGCCATCTTTGTATAGATCCCGAGATAGCAATAGTATAATATCACAGGGCGAGGGGGGGAGGGGGGAGGGGGGAGGGGGGGAAAGAGAGAGGAGAGAAGAGAGAAAGGGAAGAGAGAAGAGAGTTGTTCGGGGGATATAAAAGCAGGTTGGTTGTTTTGAAGCCCAGAATCAGAGTATACGGATTAACGGACCCGCAAATGGCAGGAGACTTAAAAATAAAATAATGTTTAAATGTTAATTCAAACCTTCTCCCCAAACCCTCTCGGGTACTTTCTGTTGCTATCTAGAAAACCCGGAAAATCAATGGGCGTACCCAACGTCGCTGCTGCGAGACACCCGGGGAGCCAAGCAACACCTTGGGCCAGCGGCAAAACTTGCCAGCGAGATGGCCCCATCCACGCTATTAGCCATTCAGAAGCCGAAGCCAGCACCAAGTCTAGGCTACAACAGCAGCTCGTTTATTCTTGAACAGACACTAGTTTCCCTCTGACAGTTTCAATCAAAGGGCTTGGACACACTTTGCCACCCAGTCAACACGAACCAACCCAACCTCAACCTTACCCAACCCAACCTTACCGCCGTTCACAGATACACAATTTCCATGGACAAGCAACGGGGCGAGCGGAGGCGGCATAGGAACGCTTATCGGACACTATCCGTGTTAGATGGTTCGTTCCGACGTCACATGCCAGAAGACATCTTCTCAGAACGGAAGCTGGTCGCGAGGAGAAATCCACTGTTTGCTTCGGCATCTCTATGTTTCGATATCCAGATCTGCGACCGGTTCATCATTCTCCCTCGCGAGGAATTCTGAGGCCCGGAGCGCCAGCCGGGCGGGAGACCCCCCTTCCCCCCCCCCGCGCAGCCCATTTTTAATGGCAAATGGAGCCCCATGGGAAGAAGGCATGTTAGGTTAGAATTTTCCGTTGTTTGTTGACCTTTCTCCATCGATCAATCTCCGGGTGCGCCATTAATTGCTTAGCTTCCTGCGAATAATAAATAGCCCTTCTCATTTCGATCTGCGGCGACCCAAAAATTGACACTGCTAAAAATATCTCCCAAAAAAAAAAACAAAAAAAAAAAAAAAAAAAAAAAAGGCAACTTGGAGGAAATGACGTAAACCACGTGAATATGGATGGGATCTGGATTGGAATTTCAACTTGCGTTATCATAACATAAGATTGCAATTGAATATAAATTGGGGGGGACTGTTCATGCCGTGGTTTTTGGCAGCAGGAACCACATATTAACAAAAACACCCCTTTTGGAACATGCAAAACATGTTCTGCTTGAAACAGTCGCGTCCCCCGTAAACAGCCTGAATTTGGAATTGACCCTGAAATGGAGCCCAGGGATCTTTATTTCGAATAAACGATGCTAACCTCGTTTCCGGCATTGAGGCCTTTGTTTATTTTTATTTTTATTTTTATTTTTTAACTTTTTTGAATTAACTAGTGAGCTAATATAAGAATTCCTCCGCCTGTGTTGGTTAGTTATATTTATATCCAAAACGGAACGGAATTAGTTAACAAAAACAACCTTTAGATAAGTTAGGGCAACTGATATCACGTGAGGTATATTTTTATGTAGTTGTATATTTTGTGCCACCCCGTTGTTTGTCTTGTTTGCAAGATTCAGGGAGCTTTTGCATCCTTGGGAACGAACAACCTTCCTTGGAGATCGGTCTGGATATCATCAGCATGCAATATCCACAAATTTGGTGGCCGACGAAGCTGTGGTTCCAGCCATGCGGCCTCTAGCTCATCCCGCGCTGCGATTGTACGTCTTCCCGTTGTGCAGACGTGGCCCTAAGGCGGCGAGGAGGACGTTTACTTCGACCTCCAAATTAACCCAACGTCCCGATATCTATGACATAGTCTGTGTTGGCGGAGGGCCTGCGGGTTTAGGTCTCTTGGCTGCTTTACGTACGGGGTAGCCCTATAAATGCGTCTCGCCCATCATTCTAACAAGAATTGGCGATTTCAGGATCCTCGCCGGTCACCTCAAAGCTTCGGATAGCACTGATCGAAAGCCAAGATCTCTCCAAGATAAGGTCGTCGTGGAAGCCGGATCCCACTCAATTCTCAAACCGCGTGAGCAGTCTCACACCCTCCTCCGTGTCCTTTCTCAAGGATATCGGGGCATGGGAACATGTAGACGGTGCGCGAGTGCAGCCATACCAAGAGATGCGGGTGTGGGATGGAGAAACTGGCGCGGATATATCCTTCGACTGGTCTCTCAAACCTCATTCAACCCAATCGCAAGCTATCGCGACGATGACGGAGAATCTGAACCTGATCCGTGGCTTAATAAGAAGCATAGAATCGTCGGGAAATGATGTGTCCGTTTTTTCGGGCACCACGGTCTCCTCAATAGGCAATGGGGAAGATTATGCGGATGGTCTGGATTTGTCGTCGTGGCCCATTTTAACGCTCAAACATTCTTCCACCTCGTCCAACCTGCCCAAGCTACCCTCCATTGCTGCCCGTCTGCTTGTAGGTGCCGACGGAATAAATAGCCCTGTCCGATCATACGCGAGTATATCGACAAGTGGCTGGGACTACGACCGACATGGTGTCGTAGCCACCCTAAACCTTTCTCCGCATGATCAAATAGCAGCAGGTTCAAATATTAGGACTGCGTACCAGCGCTTCCTTCCCGGCCTTGGGGGCCCAGTCGCCTTCCTCCCACTCCCTGCCAACCACGCTACCCTAGTCTGGTCCACAACAGTGAGAAACGCAGCGTACCTAAAATCCCTCTCGACAGACGCTCTTGCAGCCATGGTGAACGCGGCTTTCCGCTTATCCATGACTGATCTGAAGTACATGTTCACTCTCCCCTCGTCTCCTTCTGAGCCATCTGCAGACTCCACCACCACCACCACAACAACAACAACAACAACAACACCGTCAACCGAACATGGTGAAGAACTAGCCTGGCGTCTCCAGCATACCCCGGTCCCATCTTATGTCCCACCTACCGTCACCTCTGTCCAACCGGGGACTGTAGCTTCCTTCCCACTCCGTCATCACCACGCATCAACATACATCTCTCCCCGCGTCGCCCTAGTCGGGGATGCGGCACATGTTATTCATCCACTGGCCGGTCAGGGCCTAAATCTCGGCATTGGGGATGTTGCCTCCCTTTTCCGCACGATCGAGTATGCAGTGCGCCATGGGATGGACATCGGCGACCTGCTTAGCCTGGAACGGTACGCAGCGGAACGATACCTCACCAACGCTAAGATTGGGGGGGCGTGCGATCTTCTGCATAAGGCGTACAATGTTCCTGGTAACGGCCCGGTCGCGTGGGGTAGGAGTTTGGCTTTGAATATAGTGGATCGATTGCCAATGTTGAAGGGTTTTATTATGAAGGTGGCCGCTGGCACTTAGAGCGGAGGTGTCAAAAGCTGTCCAGCCGCTCTTCACACTCCCTCTTCTTCGTTCCTCGAAGGCTGATTAGGTCACAGGCGATTGGCACTGGTGATTGTTGTATGAGTAGTCCAGTTTTTTAGAACAACTGGAGGGGTTGGTTGGTATCCCTTCCTTGATAGTTACAATCAAATCCTTGTATCTATAGTATTTGTCTGCCTTTGTTTCTTTCTAGTAATCCACCACAAAGCGTATAGCCGTAAGGGTAGGTAAGTATCTCTTGATCTGGAATCGAATCTTGGTAAAACAACACAGAGAACAAAACATGAGAAGAATGTTTGTCTCAAAACAGTGGAATATATGAATTGACAAAGAGCCAATCTAGAGCAGAATGATGAATATTTTTGCTTGCGTATTTTTTCCCTTCCATCCGAAAATTGTTCGTAGATATGGTAAAAAGCAAAATTATACGGTTTCTATCGCCCTTTTAACATCTAAATTCTCTAACCTCTTCGCAACCACCGACTCATCAACTCCATCCATTTTTCCTGCCGCCATTGCTGCCGCAACAGCTCTCTTGCGCTCCAATAGAGCCTTTACTTCCTCCGCTAAGGTCGACAGATCAACCAAGACGCCGTCCTTCTCCGGATGCCCCTTTTCCAATCCCATCTCTTTGACACGCACCTGGCCATTTGCAAGCTCGTCTTCGCCAATTATAACAGCGAAGGGCACAGCGTTGGCCTCTGCTGCTTCGAATTGTTGTTGTGGCTTGGGTTTGCGCTTGTACGAAAATTCGGCCTGATATGAGGGGAACCTGCATCAGTCGCTGTGCAATATGTATGCGAATACGTATACATTATAGGAGTGGAAAGAGCATTTACCTTGATACCGGCATCCCATAGTCTCCTTGCGACATCCATTCTCTCTTTGAGCAGGCCAGTGAAGCCCTTCCCGCCAAACGCCATAACATAGACATCCACTTCGCTGAGCTTATTCACGTGGGTATTCTCCCGTTCCATACGAGCCTTGGTGATAGAGAAGATTCTATCGACTCCAAACGATATGCCCACGCAGGGTATCTGAGCCCTGTTCGAGAACATGCCAACTAACTCATCGTATCGACCACCGGCTGCGACGCTCCCCACTCCTATCGATGGGTCATTCGATCGGTCGTTGTCGTCGTCGTCGTCGTCGTCGTTGTTCTTAGATTTGCTTTTACTTTCCCTTTGGGATTTCTGAGCTTCTTCGCCTGTTGATGGATCTTCAGCTGGCGCTGAACCTTCCGTGATGGCTTCGTAGATGACGCCTGTATAGTAATCCAATCCACGAGCCAGGCTCATATCAAAGGATATTTTATCCAAGATATCGAATGCTTCGAGATAGTCCATCAGAAGTCGCATCTCCTCCAGACCGGCTTTGGCAGACGGATTGGCAACCAAAGCTTCATCTGTCTGTAGCGTCTCGAGGAGTTCACGCCCTCCTTTTCTAACCACATACGTTTCGATTTTATCCGCAACAGCACCATCAAGCCCTTTCTCTTCAACCATCTCCTTCCGAATGTCCGCCCACGGCAGCTTGTCAAGCTTATCGACAGCACTCGAGATAGTCCGTATCTTTTCCTTAGGAACACCGCACACCTCAAAGAGCCCATCAAGGATTTTGCGATGGTTCACTTTGATAGTATAACTCCCCTTCCACCCCAACCCCTCAAATACTTCCGTTGCAATCCTCAGCACCTCCGCATCAGGGACCATTGGATCATAATTTGCCCCAGCAATGTCGATATCGCACTGATAAAACTCGCGCATGCGGCCCTTGGACATGGCCGGCTGGTCCCGCCGGTATACCTTGGCGATATGGTAACGTTTGATACTCCGGATATTGGGGTTCATGGCGAGCCATCTGGCGAAGGGGACGGTGAGGTCGTAGCGGAGCGAGCAGAGCTCTCCGCCCTGATCCTGCAGGTCGTATATGAGCTTTGAATCCTCGCCATATTTTCCCGCGAGGATTTCTCGCAGCTCGAAGACGGGGGTATCTAGGGAGGTTGCGCCGTGGCGCTTGAAAACTTCGGTGATGGCGTTGAAGATCCGGTCGCGGAGGAGGCCGTCAGCGCCAAACCAGTCCTTGGTGCCCTTGGGCGTTTTGAGATTAAAGGATACTTTCTCCTTGCCCATGGCTACTATGGAATCAATAATATTACCGTGGTAGAGACGGTGGTCATGAAGTGGAAAGCTTGGTGAGACGGTGGGGTTTAGAGAAAAGAAAATGCAAGGAGAGATGCGGGCCGGGCAGCGGGTAGGATTGCAACTTCGCAGAGGGTATGAGAGTGCGAATCGACCAGTGCGCAGAGGACCCGTAGCTCTGTTAGCCCTCATGCAAGACAGCTGCAATTGGAAACAGAAATTTTAAAAGTAATATTAGCGGAATAGAAACCTATCTCCGTCGTTTCGCTGTAGATATTCTTTTTAATTTTTTGCTTTTCGCCATTTCAGGAACAATGTGTGGAATAAAGATAATCCGACGCAGGCAGGATGATGACTCATCACCACAGTCCTTCGTTTCGCCCGACTCCGGCAGATCAAAGATTGAAAAGATTGCAGAAGAAAAAAAAGAAGTAAAGAATAAAATAAAAACCGACAGGGCCCCGGTTAATATGAGAAATAAAATGAACCAGAAAAAGAAGAGCTGTAGGATTGAATTGCGCCTCCCTAGCGGGGAATCGAACCCCGGGCTGCTGTGTGAAAGACAGCGATGTTAGCCACTACACCACTAGGGACGTTATTTGATGAGTAGCCTCCTCGAAACTGAAGAACTAATTTAGGTAAACTACTTCATGTATCATAAACCTTATTATCAGAGAGGACTTTTGTCTTTCTACGAAGTCGCAAATCCCAAGACAATACGCAATCAACATGGGAGTATCCGGGGATGGCTGGACCAGAGATCCTCGCCCCATTCCAATTCCCATTCCCATTCCCATTCCCAGCTCCGGATGCAAGTTCAAAAATTCTTCAACCAGTCAACTGGTCAGCAAAGGGTCGTCGTGCTGTGGTCAACAAAGCAACACCTGAGCAAAGGCCTGATAACGAGGAGACAATCTATTGATGAAGATGGTATGCTTACGTGGGCCCGTGTCGTGCAAGAAGGAGATCGGTACGTCTTCAGCTGCCCGATGTGTCGCACTTTTTGTGGGGCCTGAACTGCCGCCTCGAGGCTTGTTATGTCGAAATTATCCCGCAAAGGTTGTGAATTAGATATACGAGGATTCGGCGAGCGATTTTCAGCTTGGGGTTAGAATGGAGTTGATTATTTCCTTTCCAACCAAGCTCATGGAGGCAGCTATGTAAAATTTCATACCTAAGGACTTATACAGCAAGTTGGAACCCCCAACATATCTCATACTTCAAGGTAGTTTTTCTTCAAAACATGAATCAAATGCTTACGAACAAACATATGCTCTATTTGAGACCGGCCGGGTGAAGATTGTACAAATACCTCGCGGCCCATGTCTGTGTGCCATCTATGTCCTGCTATGACCCGTAGGATTGCCGTTTTATTATTTCTCACCCAAAAAACTACTCAGTTTTGATTTTAACATTTACAGCTACTAGGCTTTCGACGGAATTGTTATATTAAATCGACATTTACGAGTACCTACCTACTGGAAAAGTTGATATAAGCCCATAAGTTAGAAGCTAGGCTTTTCTGGAAATGACCTAAAGCCTGAGAGTGGGGTTGTGAGAGAGAGAGAGAAACCCAGGCTGAGCCAGACGGGGCTAGATAGATGTTAGATTCAGATTATTGATATCTCTTCGTTTCCCGGACCTTGAGCGATAACTATTAAATTCTCCGACCGGCTACGGCTACCATTTCCACTATCCAAACGACAGATAATACCACCACTAATAACAAGGCTACCACTGCACTGCTCCGCCGCATAGAGCATCCATGGAATGGGAAGTTGCCAGGTGGGGTCCCTTTGCAAGTTCATGCCATTTCATGGAGTTCCACCTAAAAATTCCATGCGTAGTATATGGATGATATTACTATCAATATCCACTTTTGGGCTACTATAGCTGTGGAGAGATATAGTACTTTGGTGCCCAGGGACAGCATCCCCTATCCGCATATAGCTCTTCTTCCCACGAACTGACATATATGCGCCGGGAAGGCAGGTTGGGGGAACAGACAGAAAGCGCATCTTCTTCGTCTGGATTCTGTATCATTGTTGAACAGTACCACACTTCAGTTGGACAAGCTCACCCTCGCCTTCTGGCGTTACAATTCCTCCACTCTGGACTTTTTCGAGAACTCACTTCCGTGGGTTATTAGGCTGGAGATGATAGGGCTCGGGCTCACGATGCGGTATCAACGCCCCCAGATCAAAAGTAGAAGTTTGGTGCAGTATTTCGAGAAGGATACCTCGTTACTAGATACTCTCAGGTCGTACGTACCTAGATAATTATTCTCCTACCAGTCAGAACCTAGGTCGTAACCCCATGCGTTTACGATGCAACCTGCAACCCATGCGGCAAGGATCATTAGACCCTGGGAAGCGACATGACCTACATCGTGGCCAGTGGAACCACTGACTTGTCTGCAGTCAAAGCGGTGGCTTAAATTAGTTCTGGTTTATTGTTCGTTTATTTTAGTTCTGGTCTTTTTTAACCGGAGTCTGGTTGAAGAGCAGTCATGGCCCGGGAGTTGAACTTGATCGCGAAACCGCCGTTTTCAATTTTTTTTTTTTCCTTCTTCTCTTTTCTTTTTGTTTTGGGGGGGTTGTGGCGGGAGGAGGAAAAGGAAGGAGAGAGAACACACAACCAGTGAACTGTTTGTTGAGAATAATCTGTTAATGAGAGATTCCGAAGCAATAATATAGAAATCTGGAAAAAACCTGGATATGGGCGACAGCCACAAAACCTTTTGTCTTTGCTTTTTGCCATTCAAGCCTCCACGGCCTGCCAGGATGATCATCAGATAGTTCGATAACCTTGGATTAAAAAGACAGCCATAGGTCAGCCTTATTGGAATCTATCACTGTTCCTTTCTCCAACTCTATATCTCAACGGTTCTGTATCCTTTAACAGGAACAAAACTCAGGCAGTTCTCTGTGTTGAATCTCCTGTGTTCTTCTAGCTCTATGGATGCGGTCGCCTGCTGGGCCCCGCAGAATCCTTCGAGATCATCTGGAAGTTAGCCAAGGGTTACAGCTAAGACCTCGTGGATGAAGCGGTGGAACCGTCTTTGGTAAATGGTTTTCTCGGCTGCTCACCATCAAACACGCCAAAACCGCCAAAACCGCCAAAACCGTTCAAAACCGTTCATCCGAGGACTGCAAAAAGCTTGATGGATATCTTGACTTTGAATGTGATTGAAGTCGGCGCATGTATCTATGTATCTCGAGGGATATTAACTGGAGGAGTCGGGAGGCATTGTGTACATCCGTAGCCTACTAACACATACGAGCAGAGGGATTAAGGCGATGGGGATTAATTGCCAGAGACCAATCTAGGGATGCCGTATGGATTAAACATGGATTTATTGGTTATTTCTTAGTTAGTTAGCCGTTTACCACGCTGCAGGGTGTAGTATTGCGGGAAACCAACCAGATGCCTGTCCGAGAATGAGCCCTGAATGACCAAGTTGAGAAATATAACTAAGTCTTGGGAGAATTGACGAGTCAATAAGAGAAATAACTTAAATATCTGTGTTAGTCTGTATAACTACCCCTCGAGATGCTTTTGACTTGCTCCTCTTGTGCTGCTGGGTCCCACACGCCGCTTGTCCAGGGCCCTGCCCAACCACAAAACCTCAACCCCCAACAAAAGTACATGTACCTCCCCATACAAATCCGCCCGACCAGAAACCTGCAGCGTCGCTCAGCGGCTTTTCTTCTTTACCTGCAGTGCTCAACTACAACACTTCTTCTTTACATCCTGACATTAGTCTCGGTTCCTTTCAACCCACCCCC